AAAAAATAAGTTTAAAATAAATATTAGTACGACTTTTAAAGCAGAAGAGCTTAAATACATTTAAGCTGTAATTCTCAATATATACATCCAGCAATAACCTATCTTAATAAACAATAGAACATGTTCTAGACTGATTAGGATAAATATATATATAAACATATTTCTATATGAATATTACTGGTTTCCCCGGGGCTCTTTATATTATACACCGTCTTCTTCCTTGTAATAATTTTATCTTTTACTCAATATCAACTATATATGAATGCGTCAAAAAATAATCGATGACTATTGTTTGCAATATCCGAATGATTTGTTTGGAATTAAATTAATTTGTTTACGATCCGAGCTGAATGTTTCATTTTTCTGAATTTGTATGGACACATACGTTCTTCGTTATTAGTCGTTTTTAGCAATTTTCTCCTTATAGACGCAACAGATAGAAGAGATATTACTAGCAATCAAAAGCTTTTATTTTTCGCTGCAAGTCTATACCCTCTTTGATTTTTCGCGAACACTCCCTTTAATACCTGATACATTATTGTGAAAAGGATCTTCACAAGCAGGATTATCTCCGTTTACTGATGTACATTTGAAGCAGCCGATACTTTGCCCTTAACATTCAAACCATTGTATTGTCAAATCATCATCAAAAATTATTTATAATTTAGAGCTCAAATCAATCTAAATTTTTAGTTTTTAGTTTTCAATTTTTCTATTCAAGCAGTCGCGTTTTCTTCGAAATTCAATAAAATAAGAATTTCACGGATTTTATCTGTTTTTAAAAATATACAGTGAAAAAAAATACTTTGAGAAATGATTATTTTAATTTTGATTTTGTATAACATTTCCTGTTTTGATTTGGTATAACATTTCCTGTTTTGATTTGGTATAACATTTCCTGTTTTGGTATAACATTTCCTGTTTTGGCGTTTATTGGACACGAACAAAGGATAATGAAGACTTCAATTGAAATTTGTATTTAGTGTTACCAAATAGAGTAGAACAGAGAAATGGATCAATTATACACGACGTCACAAGTGTCAAATATAACAAGGAAAACAAAATTTTCTCACATTATTTGTTTTTCAAGATTAATTAAAAAAGTGTAAAAACAGAAAATTAAGAACACATAAAATTGCACCTTTTTTACTGTAAAATAAGCACTTTATTCTAAAATTATCATTATTAATAATTTTGTCGGACACACAAACACTTGTGACGTCAGAATACAGCTGCACTGCGACTGTGAAAATTCTACGTTGCCATCTATTGTACTAGAAACTATTTGGGTGTTACTCTTATTTGAATCTGAGGTTTTTACTGAAACTGCGGCGCTCCTCTCTGAATGCTGAGCACATCCAAAGAATTTTAGATACAGGGTGTCCAACGAAACATGACAATGAAGAGAAAGCACAAAATCAAAAGAGTCAAAATCTTTACTTTACAATTGATACAGAAGGAGAAGGAGGAGGAGAAGGAGGAGACGCAGATCTTTTACCTGTTCGAATACTGATTTGAGCGTAGATAAAGAAGAAAAGATATTTCCAGATCATCTTGTCAGAACATACATCTCTAGAATTATCAGTTTTTGTTGTTGTTATTGATAGACAGCTAAATAACTAAACATTGGGCCTCATATACAATCAAAATCCAAATCCCTTCCTGTGATGTATAGTAAAAGTTTACTGTACTGTAATTTACTGTAATTTATTGTACTATAAAAATGTATTCTCTCCGTCTAACGTACTGTAAAAACCTATTGTCCCTCTCTTTTAATGTACTGCAAAAATCTTGATCTCCTTCTCCTTAAATATGGTCTGAAAAATGCGCACTAAATACAACATTTAAAAAACAAAAAATATTAAATACAAAATAAGCAACGTTAGGATACATAGAATAGAATAATAGAAACTGCTCGGAAATAATATTATATAAAATATATGTATTATATTTTATTTATTTAAGCCTTAAACCCGTAAAACAGGGGAATATGATGATGATTGTTTTTATTTTACGTAGTCCAATAAACATGAAATAAACAATTATGCAAGTTGCAGTTTCACAGACACAATTCACTTGATAATTTGATTTTCAACCTATTTACATTTGAACAACATCAAATATACATAAGTTTGATTTACTATAGTTTTTTCCTGTGAGGGTAAAAGTTTGTTTATAATTTACAAAAAAATTTTACTTTTGGAGATAAAGATTATTCACGAAGCAAGAGTATTGAGTCTTGCCAAATATTTATGGACCATGAAGTAAATTTATTTTCAAGAAAACTCATTTAAACTTTAAACTTTCTAGAGTGAGAACAAGAAAACTGAGAAATAGGAAGACGACATTAAACCAACAATTAAGTGTATTTGATTATGATGTTACTTTACATAGCAAACAATTTTATTAGACACTTCTTAGATCATTTATTTCATGCTCATTAGAATAGTTAAAGGGTAATAAATTCAGTCTAAAAGTCGTTTTTTTATTCCAAAGTTTTCTCGTTCTGACTGTATAAAAATATAAAGTAATAGCGTAGGGGAAAATAGTTTTCACTCTCCTTGTAAACTGGGTGCTACGGAAACTATTTCATATAATTCTTGGGGTTTACACAAAATTCGGCCAGAATTTATACAATATACATGGTTCAGATTCATTTTCCAAGAAAACTTTTGCGTTTTTGCTGGTTCGCCAAAAATAGTGAATATAATTTGTTTCTGCCTATTTATATAATCAAACACATTATATTTATAAACCAATATCGGTACTAATCTAAAGATAAACTATGCAAATAATCTTCCCCCTCCCTCATCTGATGTTTGTTCTGCACTATAAAGATTTTACAATGAGAATACAGGAAAACAGATGGGAGGGTGGGGGGCTATGAGTTTTTTCCTGTATACGCCCTTGAAAGTTCTCCTCACCTCTAAATATAGAATTTACATTATTCCCACTTTTCCTCTTTACACAATCTGAAACTAAAAAAAAGGTGTTTTTTTCAAAATTTGAATGCGTAATTTTCTTTCTTCTCTGAAATCCACAATTTGACTTCTAGAAAATTCAAAGAGGCAATGCATGTTCATCACATTTTACAAATTTATTTTATAATATCGTTGAGAATCCATTGACTTTTTAATAGAGTATCACAAATGATTATGAAATCCCTTTTTTCGTTACAATCAGTTTATTAAGTTAAAAACATACTTAATGAAATTTTGTTCTTCATAAAAATACAGTATATGTGACATTTTTATTAATATTGTTCAGTTTAAATAGATAATCATTAGATCAATAGATAAACAAATTGAGTTTAGACAGATATAAACAGATTTTCTTGTAGCTAATTTCAAGCGACCCTACATGACGATTCAAAATGAGAACCTTTATTTCTCTTTTTCTATTTTAAAATAAATCATTTTTTATTTCTAATTCACTAAAGTCTGACTTCGAGGATGTATGCAGGAGTGAAGAAATAATTACATTGACAGAATTCAACACCGTTAATTAGAGAAATACTTTCTTATTAATGCTGAGGTAAAGATTTGAAGACCACCGTTTAATCATACGTATAACACATATAAATGTGCTTGCCAGTCGGATCGCTTCACGTACAAGGGTGCTAGAGCGTCGGGAAACTGCCCTTAATATATAGTTTTTTATTACTCGAATCAGCTCGTCCCGAATGGTAAATCATTGCAAAAATTCTTTAATATACTAACTTAAAATGGAAGAAGACATTCAAAACTATACACCAACTGTCATGTTTCTTGGAACACCCTGTATTTAATTGGAGGATCGCATGAAAGTACATCTACACTCTATAAGTCCCTTAAAGATATTAATCCCCAAGTATAGAGATTGAAAAGTTTCAAGCGAGTAAACAGAGCTGGGAACTTTAGAATGGTGGATATCGAGATTAATGCTTAATCCTCTCTCTTCGAGATTAAATATTTAGATCAACAAATTTGATTCTAGGAACGCCAGATTTGTTCTTTTTCTTGACTGAAAGGGCCTTCACTTAATTTCTCACCCATTTATTTATTAATACATTAGTCAATATTAGTTAAAAAAGAATCTCAAACGTATTATTAAATATTTTTCTTCACCGATTAATTTACAAAATGGCAGACAACATATTCTTTATTTTTTAGAAATTGCGGATTTCTCTCGTGTGATAGAATTTATTTTCAAGGCTGTCATTGAACAATACAATTGAGAAAACATTTTACGGATATCAAAAGAGAGAGAAATTGAGTGTACCTCTGTGCCAAGATACTATGTCCGATTTACAACGGTACCCTTGAAACCTTACTCTTATAACAAATATTTAAGATATGTCGTTTCCTGGCTCAAAAAGTTTTTATTTCTGTGACTCTCTCCTTTGCTTCTAATAAACAACAAATTATACGCCGAGAAACCGCGAATGAAAATAAACAGTTTAAAGAAACCAAGGTTTCAAGATACCGTTATAAATCAGGCCTTGCCATCTTTAAGAATAAAACCATCAAGTTGAGAAGATTATTAAAAAAATTTAAAGTTTACCATAGTGTCCTGTAATCTTTATACAATCTGAGGCGGGGTAGAGACCATCCCGCCCCTTCCTCCCGCCCATACAAGGAGTCTCGTACAAATCTAAATAGTTAAATAGATATCAGTGAAAAAGCAATAATCTTCTCATAAAAGTTTATTAATAAACTAGGTTTAGAATCAAGCGTAGTTACTTCCGCCGTTTACATGCCTTTGGTCGTAAATTACGATTTTAGCTATTTTTTCCTGTATTCCTAGTAAATATAAGCATATTGATATTAGCTGGGAACCCAGCATTGTCTGGATAACGACTAAAACTTTAGCTTTTTGATATTCTGAAAAATATCTTTAAAAAATCCCCTTTTTGTCACCACACAATCATATAATCATCTTTTAATACTTTAATACCCATCTTGATTTATTTTGACCATTTTCTTCTCGCCAAAATAAGTGTTTTGATCTACACAAAAAAAATACAAAAATCTCAAATGAGATTGAAAGTTTTAAAAAAAATTCTCAGATTTTTATTTTAATTGTTACAAAAAAAACGTCAGGACTTGTTTAAGATGAATTTAAGCTTTTATATCAAGATAGGGGTTTCATTTTCACTCTTAAAGGCACTTATTGTTTCACTCTTAAAGGGACTTATTGTTTCTCTCTTAAAGGGACTTATTGTTTCACTCTTAAAGGGACTTATTGTTTCACTCTTAAAGGGACTTATTGTTTCACTCTTAAAGGGACTGTCAGCGTAATTCAAGTGACCAGCCTCCATGCAAAGATGGCAATGTTCATTTTTGACAATTTCCCCATTGCTTTCTAGAAGTAAGAATTCAAGCTTTCAAATAGTTTATATACACATAATAATGGAAACAAAGCGGTCCATTAACATATTGTTTTAATGTTTACTTTGTGACTTCGATCTGATAAAAAATGTGAAAGAAACTTTCGTTTTTCTGACTCGAAAAGTATCAAATTATTATAATTTCCCGTTGCTTCTCATAAGCAAGAAATGCGGAAGTCACTTTGGTGGAGAAACCGGAAATGAAAATAAACAGTTGAAATCAACAAGGATATAGATCAGAAAAACCTAATATAAGAGTACAACTGGACCTTTAACGGTAATATTAGGTGTCCCGGTCACATTTAACGGTAATATTAGACGTCCTGATCACATTTAACGGTAATATTAGGTGTCCTGGTCACATTTAACGGTAATATTAGACGTCCTGATCACATTTAACGGTAATATTAGGTGTCCCGGTTTTGTAGAGATTTAAATATTCTTTTTAAAATTTAAGACTGTAAATAAAAAAATTCCTTTGTATTCAGAAAAAAATGTGCTTTACATTAATGTTACAGCAAAGTCTCAAATATGATTTATAAAAATGAAAATTTGTTATAAATAATGAAAATTTTAGTTCACTTTTTGCAGAGAAACCGGAAATGAAAAGTTTACAGAAACAAAATCATGGATATCTAATTCATACTTTATCAGACAAAGCTTTTGTGGGTACCATGGTAAATCGGGCATTGCCTTCTTTGCATGGAGGTTCCCTGGACATTGTCTTTCAAAGGAATATATGTTAAATTTTTAAATTAAGAAAGTAATGTAAAACTGCACTGCAAAGAACAATGAATGTAAAAAAATACAGATAAATTCCGTAAAATTTCATCTTTTGTGAGTAACCCTGTTTATTATGAGAATACTAATTTTCAGCTGTAAATATATGCAGTGAATATATTTCTACTGATCAGCCAGCTGCCGGCAACTATAAAATAAATATTTACACAGCTCTTTATAGAAAACCTTTTCTGCCTTTAGGGATAGCGGGCTCTAGAATACTTTCTTATTTGGGGCCCGGGAACGTTTCATTTTTTTGGACAAAATTACAATATTATTGCTGTACGATCTTTAATCAATTGCAAAATGATTAAAAATTCCAATTAAATGTTAAAAAGGAAAGATAATATTTTCGTAAATTGTATCAACGCCATACAGGGTTAACTCACAAATGATCTATAGAGACGACTGGATGGAATCTATCAATTTTTTGATTCTGTGCAACAGCAAGCTGTTTTCTTCATTGCCAATTCATCCATATATAACATTGAAAGACTATAATTTTTAACAAAGAACAAATTCGACCAATTCTGCAAGCTTTTGGGTCGTCAGTATTTAATCATTCTTTGTGGGTAACCATATATTTTAGAATTATATTAAAGCAATTCATTAAATTTAATTCAAACCCAAAAATTTAAAATGTCTCCATGTACAATAAAAAAACGTAGTTAGATATCTAACTCAATCTCTGAGAATCTAACAGAAGATGTAAAAATATATGCGTGCATTACTGCTACGACTCTGTGATCTCTTGACTCCTTGATTTTATTCTGTTACATTGTACATTTTGGAAATTCTATACGGTTTTAAATATACTTAAGTTTCACGGAACATGACAGTTGGTAAATAGTTCTGAAGGTCGTCTTCCATCCATTGAAGGCTGTTTGCAGTTTATATCGTTTAAAAAATCTTTTGCTCAAATATATTTTACTTTTTAGTTAATTTTCCTATAATATGACTCCTCTATAATATTTTATTATTGTCTTTGGTATTGAACAACGGAAAAAATTATGGAAGAAGACATTTCAAACTATTTACCAACTGTCATGTTCCGTGAGACACCCTGTAGCTCTCAAATGAGAGAAGATATGATTGAAAACATAAGATTTGAATTCTTCTAGCAATTTACCCAAGTTTGACGTGCACAATATCTGAACGTGAGATGGTATTTGAAGTGCAAAGGAAGCATGTCTGATTTGATTTACACGCGGCACCCTAAAAAAATTGATCTGATCAAGAATGAATGAGATTTCCTTGTTTTTCTCTTTGACAATTGGGGTTTCCCTGTAATAATTTATGGATTACTACAACAGAAAGGTTTAAGGAAATTGACAGAATTAAACACTTGTCATCCCAGAAAAACGACGGCCTGCTATCTTTAGTCATTTAAAGTTAAAAAACCAGTTTCTTTGATTTTGATAAATTTCGGTACTAAATTTACCATTAAAAACAAATTAATTGCCGGAAGACTTAGATGTTGTGGCACGGAGGACCGTACGGTTGTAGATTATGAATGCCAGGAGACAAAAAAGATAATGTGACATGGAAGGGATAAATGTTGTGGCTTATGACCATCAATCAAATATTCCTGTTTGCATCACTTTTAACATTTCAATTTATCTGAATCAAAATTTAAATAGATTTATAAACCTGATAGCAGTGTCACACTGTTAAGAAAACCAAACATTCTGTTTGTAATATCGAAGAACCAAGAGCAATCCGAAAATTTTGTCCGAAATAATGAACAAAATTGAGAACTCAAAAATTTTGCATTCTTAACAATGAGCTCGTCTTTCGGCAATTCAGAAATTACAAAATTTTAGAATTTCTTTTAGCATTAGTTTATTTCTAATAAACCGTTTTATATTTAGTTTTTACATAAAGGGTTCCAGGTAAAGACGACAGGAAACTCTCAAAATGAGACGAGGTCAATGTTAAATCAACTATATATTCTGCCTTAGATATAGTTATTTAACGTCATATTTAATGATTATACAAAAAAGTTTACTATTGCGGGTAATCGTGAATGCAAGGAAACAGATAGTATAAATTCTGTACAATCGTCTCTAGTCTCATTGGAACACAGGAACCCCCCCCCCCCCCACACTGGATAAGGAAAATTTATTGTTTTCGGGGCCCAGACGGGTGCTCTTTGGGAGCCCCCCCCCCAAAAAAAAAATTCAGCCCCTCTACCACTCCTGGACAAATTCCTGAATACGCCCCTGAATGTATTAAACGTTTTCAGAGAATAACGAATTTCTCTTAAAATAATAAACAAGAAACTTTGACATTTCAACAGACTTCCCTAAAAGCATCAGGAAAAAATCGGATCTCAGAGAGAATGACATTATAAGCTCCTGTTTCAGATATCTGAACAAACGTTTTTGAAAACCGAATCTCCCTTACAAAGGACGACTTCTGTAATCTATGTAGTTAATGAATGAGGAAAGAGTAGCTTATAATAAAAGATTACATCCGGCAAACTTTTCAAATTGATATTTGGAAAATTTTAAAAAGTGTTCAAAGTCTAAAACCGAACTTCCTGAAAAAAACTTCGTAACGTTAACATCAGTCGTGTTTTTAAGGACTAAAAATTCAGGGGTATATATTTTGCTAAAAATCATTACCCTAGGGTTTCTTTTACGCTGAATTTGGGAAAATATATGATTTTTCGGTTAAAAAGAAAGAAAAAAAATACTTAGTTGAAACAAAAATGTTGATGCAGCTGCTAATGTTCAGTTTAAAGTCTAGTTAAGGATTGAATAAGGTTAAAGTTTGAGTAATATCTAGCCGACTTTTTTTCAATAAACGAAAAAAGAAAGGAAATCTTTAATAAATATAATTTTTCTCTACTAAACTGAGAATGCAGAACAGAAAACAAGTTCTAATAAGGGTTTCGAATTTGAACACGTAAAAGACCTTAAGGAACCTTTTCAAAAACCGTCGAGTGTTATGCACAATTAACGACCTTTGAAAATTAACTGATTTTTAATCTACCCTTGGGACATTTAAAAAACATTAACGGGACGATCATTACATATGAAGTTGATCCGGAATATTAATCCAGGGATTTAATGCAAGGAAAGTTATTTCAGAGGTGTACGCCTCTTTTGTACTGCAGTGTACTGTCACTGGGCGGTAATGTAAACACAAGACGGACGCCGGAGCCTGACATGGGATCCATCTTTCACATAAAAAATCAATGAAATATTCTGGTCATAGGAAACTAGTATGTGAATTATCATAATTATAAAATGTAATGCTTTTAACCTCCTCGGATACTAAACGTACATGCATCTATTCTTGTTTACAACTTCCGCCCAGAGAGAACTGGTTTCAATATGTACGCAGAGTATACGCGACCGCAATTAACTTTCCTTGCATTATAACTATGTATTAATCGGCCCGTTAACTTATTTCTAAACATCTCACCAAGCTCTGTGTATTATATAGGGGTGGATTTTTATTAAAACAGATTCTGCCGTTTAAATCATAGGATTCTAACACGCACAAGGTGAATCATAATCTATGTAGTCTCCACGGTATCCTAACATATTTACATAAAACTAACAACTAGAAAAATTCACATTTGTGAGAAACTGAGAAAAAAGGAATAAAACTCCTGCTTAAAGGGACAACAGACGAATAATTTCAAGTAACCCTCCATTTAAAACGATACAATTCCGATTCACAACGATGTCCTTAATTCCTTATTAAAGGGAGTGACCGGCAATATATGGTGGTTGAACCGAACATGTAGTATAGTGGACACATTTGAGACATAAATAACCTTTCTACGACGTATACTTACTGAGTTTGAGCGCTAAGCTGACCTTCAAAATCATGAATTTGGGTGGGTGCGTTTCCATAATCGATTTTTTTAAATCATTAAATAACGACGACAAAAAATGTGAACAAAATTCTACAGTTAACTAATTAGTTGTTTTAGTTGATTAGGAACAGTTTGAGAAAGTAATCATCGAAAATAATTTAGTTTCTAATTTCTATGATCTCTTATTATTAACAATGAACTTCTGGAATTTTTATTGAGAAGACGACATTAGGAGAATTTGTAGAAATCTGCGAACAAATTCACAGAAAATAAGAAATACAATATGATGAAAATGAAATAATTGATTCTAGCATTGATTTACTGACAAATGTCTTTTTAGAAATATGTTTAACATCTTTCAAGTTTGCTAAAGAATATATTCTGTCGTTAATTAAAAAATAAAACTGTTCTGAAACAGTAACCACCAAAATTCATGATTTTGAACGTCAACTTTGCACTCAAACGTAATTATACATCGTGGAACTGGAAACGTTATATGACTCAAATGGATCCTAAGAACTGTTTCTACAATACTCCAATCTCAGTTCAACCACCATACATTGCCGGACACTCCCTTAAACATGTGAAAATAAGATATAAATTTTTAAATTACCTAAGTTATCGAGATAAAAAACCCGCAATGGAAAAACATCAATTTTTACAAGAACAAAATAGAAACATTTAAAGGTTTAAAGGTACCGTTGTGTATTATGCGGCAACTCTCTAAATAAGCGTCATTTGAAGTTTTTGAAAATTCGTCTCCAGTCTCCTTTAAATACAAATAGTACTGGGTTAACCGTAAGTGCGAGATTCTATCTTACTTTACGAAATGTTTTAATTTTTTTTTACATACGATGGTTCTCCACAGCTTTTGTACAACATATTTCTCTTTCAGGGATATTTATTTTGCATATTTTTCAAAGTCAAACTCAGGGAGTGAGGTTGAGTAAAACTCGGGGTGAGAGGGTGATTTTTTTTCGCGAAAATATCTACCCCTGTCTTTATTAACTTTTAAATGACTAAGCTCTTCAAACCATCATAGTTAAAATAGATTCATGTAGTCAATTAAATCTTATTCATTTTGGGTAACCCTGTACAATTTGCATACGTGCTAAAAATTTTCCTTTAAATTTCACTCCAGTTTCTTCCCAATTAAAAAAGAACAAGTTTTAAGCTCAAAATTTTATTGAAGAACTTAAACATTTGAGAACAAATTAAAACGCTGTGACTGAATTTTGAGAAAAGGTCCATTCTGTACCTAAAGTAAAATTAAAGTCCTGAAAAATAATCTTACCAACCAGCACCTTTGAGTCTGGAAAAATCTCCAAATATCTCGACAAAAAATCCCCGAAAATCTGCGCCCGCTGCTCCCGCGTAGTATTCTCGACCCGTTCCCGCCGGTCTCCCGACTGGAAATCTCCAAAAATCCCGAAAATCTCCGAATTCTCCCCCCGACTCCCGTTAATGGTTCCGGTGCTGCCGGAAGGGCTAAAAAATAATACAATAAATTTACAAATTCAGGATTATATTCAGTTTTCTTTTAATGGACATTACAATATTTCATGATTAAGCTTGGGGGGAAGACTAACATTTAAATACAGAATTGCTGGAGGGGAGGGTTACAAAGTGATAAGATTACAGTATATTAAAGTACCGAGATTATCTCAATGCATAAATGAGTTGAATGCAATCAGGAAGTTTTCATCTCCTTGGTGTCTAGTCGTCTGATCGATCAGATCGCCCGGAATGACGTCTTCTGCGGGAATCAGAATCAACAGACCTAGATCGAGATTTCTTGCGATCCCTAGAGCGATCCCGCGGAGTTCGGGAGCGGTTACGATCCCTAGAGCGATCACGATCACGGCCTCGAGACCGGTCCGGGGATCGACCTCCTCTCCGACCTCCACGGGATCTTGATCTGGATCGACGGCCACCGCCTCGACCCCCTCGGTCACCACCCCCACCTCGACCACCACCGTAATCGCGATCAGGTCGATCGTAGCGAGCATATTGAACACTCAACTCACGACCATCAAACTTTCTACCATCCAGAGCATCAATGGCGTCCTCTGCATCGTCCCTAAAAATATAATTTATAATCAAGATATATAGTGCGACTACAAGTTTATGCAAGCATTTTTTAAAATTCCTGTTTTTCTCGGCGATACGTACATTTTTCTTTTTTAAAAAATGAAAGGAATATGTTTTTTTTCTTCAGTTTTCATAAAAATATCCACAAGAAAATGAGAGTGGAATTATGCAATCGTACCGGTTTCCCTGAGAGCAGATCCGATCATGGATACACCAAGAAAAAGGGGAAAAGAGGTTTGAGATTAAAATTTTCAAGAATTTAAAAACTAAGTCAGTAAAATTTCTATTTAATTTTTTTTTTGAACATTTTTCACATAACTATCAGTTTTTGGGAAATTGTTGGAAAATGACAAGACAATAAATAATGTTCCAAAAATATTTTATGTGTTGTGCAAAATATGTCTTCCCCCGTTTTTTATGACTACTCTGATATTATATGATAAAAATTTCTGTAAAATGTGTTAAAGATCCTGCTCCAATATTTTCACGCCGAAAACAATTACTGTCAGCTTCCACGGATTAAAATAATTGAAAACATCTCATACTATCAAACTTAACCCAACACATTTCTTTGATGCTTCTATATTTCAAAAAAAAAACGCGTTTTGAACAAACATTAATAAAAACGCGTTTTGAACAAACATGAAGAAAAACGCGCAAATCCAGGGGTGTATATTTTCTAAGTTATCCCCCCCCGCCGCCCCCCCCCCGGGTGGA